CATTGACACTTTAGGACGATAGAATAGTCACTATCAGGTCCCAATAGCGGGCTGTCTAGTTGTGGAGTCACGGTTGGAGAGGGGCGGCGAGGCAGCCCAACGCACACGCGCGCCGGGCAGGTCGGTCTGTAGGACTCTAGTCGGGGGCACGGGGCACGGCTGCGCCCTCGTCCACCCCTATCGGGCGCACACGTCGTACTCCCAGTCATCTGAAATTTTAGTGATTAGATTTGAAAATATGTGTCAATTATCAATGTAAGGTTTCTATCCACCATAAAATGTGGCCCCTGGTGAAAGGATATTTTAACCAAGTACCAAAATAATTGAAAATTATGGCATAACTTTTTATTGAGAGAGTTTTAATGTACAAATAAACTGCAATTCAATAAGAATTTTTAAAGTACAAATAGGGGTTGGGTGTATTCTTCCATGATAATTCTACCCACTTAACAGGCGTGTTTTAGAGAAGAAACCCCATTCCCATTTCAAAAGCAACAACTTTTATGTAACCCATACAACATCACAAAATTCTTACTTATAAATCATCTGCTTTTTTTTCATCAAAATAAATTTACCAGCAGATTTATTAATTTACAAGAACAAAGAGTGAAATTCACTCATGAACTTCATTTTCAGTTTTTCCAAAGCCATCAGCTCATGTGGCTCGAATGCACTGCGGCGAATTTCAGCAAGAAGAGCAGATAATTCTTCCTTTGGCTACAAGAAAACAGATTAAAAATTAGGCAATTAAACTAGAAGTGTGGGACAATTTTATGCTCTTCTACGCATCTTATGCTTTTGTGGTGAATTGCACCATTTTATTGCGACAGTTTACACCCAAGCTGATAGAAATTGTCCTAAAAATTATGTATAACAAATTTCTCCCACGCAACTGGTGTGTTCAAAACTGTTGCCTTTCATTGGACAGTTGTCTCATTCTAATTTAAAATTGAAAGTTGTTTGTATTTTGTGAACTCAGTTGTAAGTTGACAACCCCAGAACCACCAAATGCGATTGAATGCTTGTAGAAATGCACAGAAAAGGTAACACATTGGTGTTACATTAACAAAATTTTAAGTGTGTAAATTATGTAACTTGAACACGCCCATTGGGGAATTTTGACGAGGAGTCCACAATTTCAGATAAGCACGGTTCAAGTAAAAATGATAATTTTTCAACATTATTCAGTGGATTCAATAGTATTCACAATAACTCATTAATATTCTCCACAATCAATGATGAAGCTAGGGGTCGTTGGGAATATTCAGTAAAATTTCACAAGCATAATTCCAAAGTTA